ACTGAACACAAAACAATCAGCATTGTATGAAAATCTGATGAAAACAACTAATGCACTTGATGAATACGAGGCACTTGAGGTCATGTAACAGTGGACATACACTTCTGCATAAGTTACATAAACTCTACATAATAAAACATGTAACTGATATTAAAGGAGCAATTTACAAAAGTCTCAGTCAAAATTATCAGTCAAAATCTGTCTGTGCATGAATGTACAGACTGTACTATAGTACAACTGATTTACCCAGGAACTGAACACAAAACAATCAGCATTGTATGAAAATCTGATGAAAACAACTAATGCACTTGATGAATACGAGGCACTTGAGGTCATGTAACAGTGGACATACACATCACTTCTGCATAAGTTACATAAACTCTACATAATAAAACATGTAACTGATATTAAAGGAGCAATTTATTGCTGAAAATTGACTCTCTCTCAGGTCATCCAAGATTAGGATGAGTTTGTTTCTTCATCAGATTTAGAGAAGTGTCATTCCATCACTTGCTCACCAATGGATGTGAATGGGTGCCATCACAATGAGAGTCCAAACAGCTGATAAAAACATCACAATAATCCACAAGTAATCCACAGCACTCCAGTCCATCAGTTAACATCTTGATGGATTTGTTTCAGCTTTTGTCTTCTCATCAAGATGTTTTCAATTCAAATACGAGTGCATAATCCATAATAACACTTCCTCCAGTGAAAAAGTGGTCTGGACTGAATCAGGAGAGAAATCTGCACAGATCAAGCACCTTTTACAAGCCAAAACGGCTCTAAACAAATATGTGGCTGGAACAGGAGATGAGCTTTTTAACTGGAGGAAGCGTTAGGATGGATTATGGACTCGTATTAGAGTTAAAAAAGTCTTAATGCTGGATTAGTTTCAGCTTTTGTCTTCTCCAGATGTTAACTGATGGACTGGAGTCCTGTGGATTACTGTGATGTTTTTATCAGCTGATTGGACTCTCATTCTGACGGCACCCATTCACTGCGGAGCATCCACTGCTGAGACACTGATGCAGTGCTACATTTCTACAAACCTGATGAAGAAACAAACTCATCCTGATCTTGAATGGCCTGAGGGTGAGCACATTTTTAGCTAATTAGGACATACATTAAATCTTTCGATGTCAACAACCACTTAAAAATAACTGCATTTACTATGAACAGATAAGTGCAATGGTAATATGTATTATATTTATTGTTCTTTAATTCTAACATTATAACATGAATTGCAGTGAAACTTATTTATACCACAGTGCAGTGTTTCCGACAGACTTGCACGCTCTATTTGTGGCGGCACATATAAGCAAACTCATTCTCTGCCAGCAGGAGGCGCTGTTGGAGTGATAGCGATAGAGGTTTCCCGGTAACGCTGTACACAAAGCAGCACTCCGCTCACAAACACTGCTTTATCAGACATTACAGGCAAGATTAAATGAAAATTACATCCAAAATTTTCTGAAGGCAGTCGGTTTCCTTCGCTCCGGCCGGACAGGGCATCATCACAGTATGGTGAGGGGCGTAACATTTCCGTCACACGCTTGAGGTATTCGGCCAATCACAACGCACTGGATAGCTGGCCAATCACAGCACACCTCGCTTTTCAGACCGATGAGCTTTGTAACAATCGACGCGTTTCAGAAAGGCGGGGCATAGAGGAGAAACAATAATGTACAGTATGTGGAAAATAATGTGTTTTTTTTAACCTTAAACCGCATAAACACATTTCATTACACCAAATACACAAAATAATGTTCTTCTCAGCAACATCATATGACCCCTTTAAAAACTAAAACACTGAAAGTCCTGGTCTTGCAGCAGTTTATACAATGTTTAACTAGATTAAACAGGTGCTGAAAGTTTACAGTACTAGTTTTTTTTACCACTAAATCTCTAGATAACCCCTCTAAACCCTGTAGGATTAGCCGGATTGCTGAAATGCCCAATTTACAGCATTTAAACCCTGAACCAGCTGGCTTGAAGTCGATAGAAACCTGAATCTTCTGAATCATCCGTTCTTAAATAAGAATATTTCGGTCACGAATCGAGATCCTTTACCACTAAACCACATAATCCCTGTACCTCCACCCTTTAACCACTAAACCACATCATCCCTGTACCTCCATCTCTTTAACCACTAAACCACATCATCCCTGTACCTCCACCCTTTAACCACTAAACCACATCATCCCTGTACCTCCATCTCTTTAACCACTAAACCGCATCATCCCTGTACCTCCACCCTTTAACCACTAAACCACATAATCCCTGTACCTCCATCCCTTTAACCACTAAACCACATCATCCCTGTACCTTTCAGTCGTAATATTACAAAAATAATCACTATTTTTACATTTAAACCGAAAGTTGTCTTCATCACAAGTGTGTCGCGCGCTCTCGGTCCCGCTCGATTTCTGAAAGTCGTGACGTAACGTAACATGTTGGCGTCAAACGTCAGTTCCTCAGCGTTAGAATGAACGCGTGCGGTTCGCTGTCCAGACCTGCGGCGCCCCCTGCCGGTGAAACTCAGCTACTTTATATTATTATATTATATTATTATATTATTAGTACTAATATATATATATATGTTAGTATTATATCTGCATGGCTCTAAATGCAGTTGCAGTGCACTGTATTCACCCTCCTTAATTAACACGTACCACAGTAGATATAAGGCAAGCTCATTCTTGCCTCTGTATAATAGAACCATTACGGATGCAGGATTTCTGGACAATGATGCCTTTTCCCGGTCAAAAAGTATTTTTTACGCTTTCTTCTCACACAACTTGTGCGAGTTATAATTTTCCTGTCTTGGGTTTTGGGTGAGAAAGCACAAGGATTTATCTCAGATGTATATCTCAGGGATGTGTCGCGTCTCAGGCTAATACAATAAAATAAAATAAAATAAAAAATAAGATAAATTAAAATTATAAAAAATAAAAAAAAATAAAAAAATCAAATCAAATCAAATCAAATAAAATAAAATTGGCCAAACAGTTCTGGCTGTATACAGTAATTACAAAGACATCATCTTTAGCCAATGAAATCATGCATTTTATTTTTAGGTCTTTGCTGGGACACATTTGCATTACATATATTTACATTTATTACTTGTGTTTATCCAAAACAGCTTACAAATGAAGAACAATGTGTTATCACCAACAATTTTTTAGTAAAATAATACTGAATAATAGTCTCATGTAACCTGTAATAAGCGGTAACCTGCAACTGTTACCGTAAAGTAACAGTTTAACCCATAACCATTAGTTGCTGTTGTTTGTGTATAAATGAATGTGTTTAGCTTGATTCAGTGACGTGACTTAAAATAAAACCAGTTCATTTAGATTTAACATCTAAGGATACTATTTACGTTTTACGGGGGGAAAAAAATTAGAAGTAAAATTCAGAAAAGGAGTTATTGTAAATAATTATGATAAAAAGCTATTATAAAACACATGGGATAGAAAACAAACTGACCAAAGAAGTGCCTTTCAAAAATACTTTATTGTGTTTAAAAAGGCTTCATTCATATACAAAACTGTACAATTATTTGTGCAGTCTAAATTTCTAGTTAAATTTCAGTCTAGATTCTGCATCATTTAACACCTGAAATACTGAAAGACACCAAAGGCTTGTAAAGCACGTTACATTCAGTCTCAAACACCGGCATTTGAACTCAAACATCATTTCCCCCCGCATTGACATCCACGCGAATCAAACTCATTGAGTCCAATATTTGTTTTTTGATTATCTCAATCATGTCTGGCACAATATAACATTAAAGAAATCTTAAAACTCGAATAAAATGGCTCAGAGATTGAACCCAGTGACCATCTCGAAAAACACAGTGCGTTAAGCTTCAGAATTATATTTAATATCGTGTATTTTAGTGCAATATGATAATACATACCTTGAGTAATGATAAGAGGTTATTATGTTATGATTTTGCACCGAAGCATCTAGTTTAAGGAAGGCCAGTACAAACACATTAAACAGTAACGTGTGTGTGATCCTGTCCACTAACCCACGGAAATATACTGAAAACACTTCTGTTCATATTCCAGAAAACCTCCTGAAATATTAGTTCAGTAACACTAAAAGAACTGCAATCTAATAATACTAACACAAGAGCATCTTCATTCAGAACAACTCTCGTCTAAAATCCTTCAGACAGGCGTCAGATTACTCTCCAGTCACTCGTCTTTGAACTGTACGATTTTTAATGTTTTTAAAGAAGTCTCTTCTGCTCACCAAGCCTGCATTTATTTGATACAAAATACAGAAAAAGCAGTAATATTGTGAAATAGTTTTACTATTTGAAATAACTGCTTTCTGTGTGAATATGTGTTAAACTGTAATGTATTTCTGTGATGTGCAGCTGTATTTTCAGCATCATTCCTCCAGTCTTCAGAGTCACATGATCTTCAGAAATCAGTATAATATGCTGATCTGCTGCTCGAGAGACATTATTATTATTATTATTATTATTAACAATATTTAAAAGAGTTGAGGATTTTTTTCAGGGTTCTTTGATGAATAGAAAGATCTAAAGATCAGCATTTATCTGAAATAAAAAGCTTTTGTAACATTATACACTAAACCATTCAAAAGCTTGGAGTCAGTGTATCATTTTTTTTGTAATAATAATAATTATAGAAATTATTGCTTTTATTTAGCAAGGATGCTTTAAATGGATCAAAAGTGATGATAAAGACATTTATAATGTTACAAAATATGTCTATTTCAGATAAATGCTGTTCTTCTGAACTTTCTATTCATCAAAGAAACCTGAAAAAAATCAACTCGGCTGTTTTCAACATAATAATAATAATAAATGTTTTTTGAGAAGCAGATGAGAATATTAGAATGATTACTGAAGGATCATGTGACTGGAGTAATGATGATAAAAATTCACAGGAATAAATTACATTTTAAACTATATTAAAAACAGTTATTTTAAATGAATAGTAAAAATGGATCAAATAAATGCAGGCTTGGTGAGCAGAAGAGACTTCTTTAAAAAACATTTAAAATCTTACTGTTCAAACTTGACTGGGAGTGATATATTCCACAACATCAGATCAACAAATACTGAATTATTAAATCTTAACTTTAGTATTTTACACTTATGAAATCAAGGCACGGTGATGTGATGTCAGCTCTTGACTGAAATAAAACAAGGCGATGTTTGTAACTAAAGGCACAGCAGGTTCAGTCACATGTGGGTCGTTCACACCGGACGGTTGCGTTATTGTTTGTGTATTACTGCTTCTGTTCTGTTGCACTGATCTCAGTCCAGGTGTTTAAAAGCAGGAACACGTCCTGTGTGAACGGACCATTTGGTAACACAAATATAACGTTTTTTGTTTGACCTTTTAAGAGGTTATAAGTTCTGAACATAGTGTCTGATTGTTAAAGGTGCTGCAAGTGATTTCAGGAGTTTTTCAGCTTCAATCTCACACTCCCCTGACTCCGCCCACTAACACACACACACCTTCTGTGCTAAACCCCGCCCACTAAGACACACACACCCTCTATGAGAAACGCTACCCACCCACTGAGACACACCCTCTATGAGAAACTCCACCCACTGAGACACACCCTCTATGAGAAACTCCACCCACTGAGACACACCCTCTGTGTCAAACTCCGCCCACTGATGCAAGCCATCTATTAAACCCCGCCCACTAAAAGACACACACACATACACACACACACACACACACACACCTTTTATGCCAAACTCCACCTAAGACAGACACACCATCTTTATCAAACCCCACCCACCAAACCGAAATAAGTTCTGAACATAGTGTCTGATTGTTAAAGGTGCTGCAAGTGATTTCAGGAGTTTTTCAGCTTCAATCGCACACTCCCCTGACTCCGCCCACTAACACACACACACCTTCTGTGCTAAACCCCGCCCACTAAGACACACACACCCTCTATGAGAAACTCCACCCACTGAGACACACCCTCTGTGTCAAACTCCGCCCACAGACACAAGCCCCCTATTAAACACACACACACACACACCTTTTATGCCAAACTCCACCTTCTAAGACAGACACACCATCTTTATCAAACCCCACCCACCAAACCGATGTCTGCAAATCTGAACATGCATAATGACTGACAGGGTTTCCGATTGGCTAAAAAAACAGGCCACTCCCCTTCACTCAAAAAAGGCATAAATTAAATGTTTTATGTATATGAATTGCACTTAACATTTGAATTACCCAGTTTTACCAAACTAAAAAACTTAATGTGATGCAAATGTGTCTGTCATGTATAAATAAAGCCAGTCAGATTTCTGTAATAGCACTAATAAACAAATAACCAGCTTTATATATTTAACATCAATAAATCCAACTTCTTTAAATCTCATGCATTTGAATATTGCTTGTTCCACAGCTATAGCCATATCTGAACTATGTTCATACTTTTGAACTGAATAAATTTAATTGTTTTCACAATGAACTGATTTATGATGATTCTAAGCCATATGAATAAATGTATTTCAAATAAATTATTATTTATATAAAATCAAATAAATGCAAATAGTTGATTATTATAATGTTTTTTTTCTTTCTTGCATTTAGAAATCTGAGTTCATTATGTATGACTGACTAATATGCATCACATTAAGTTTATTAGTTTATGTTAAAATAACGTTAGCCAAATTTTACATGGAATTCAAACACATAAATCTTGATTTCACGAAGTACTGAGTAATCAGACGGACAGCGAGGGATGCGGGTGTCACTTCAGTCAGAATTGAGCGTGATGTGATTTTTCAACATGTGATGTGTGATACTCCTAAAAAAATCACTGACAGCAGCTTTAAAATCTCTCAAAGTGTTTAAATATGAAAGGAAACAGATGCTGAATGAGCCTGAAGTGTGTGTGTTCTTCAGTCCTTCATCCAGACGCTCGTTTGCTCACGGAGTCAGTCCTGAGGAGGAGTCAGTGTGTGAATCAAGACGACTGACACACACACCGCTCTACTGAGAGTGACAGCATCTGAGACACACACACACACACACACACACACACACACTGAGCGTGATGTGATTTTTCAACATGTGATGTGTGATACTCCTAAAAAAATCACTGACAGCAGCTTTAAAATCTCTCAAAGTGTTTAAATATGAAAGGAAACAGATGCTGAATGAGCCTGAAGTGTGTGTGTTCTTCAGTCCTTCATCCAGACGCTCGTTTGCTCACGGAGTCAGTCCTGAGGAGGAGTCAGTGTGTGAATCAAGACGACTGACACACACACCGCTCTACTGAGAGTGACAGCATCTGAGACACACACACACACACACACACACACACACACACACACACACACACACAGCTGTTTAAGACTTGTCCACAGGCGTCATGCCGATATAAGTGCCATTTTTCTCGTCCTGATCGTCCGCTTTGGCGCTCACAGGAGCGTATGACGTGTCTTTCTTCGCAGACGGCTGAAAGAAAGAAAGAAAACACAATAAGGTTGATTTAGTATGCGTGCGTGTTATGAGTATGAAATACACTTCATGCAAGTACAAGAACATACTACAAGTTCATGTACTTGACTACAGCATGTTTTAGTCCTTTAAACTAGTTTGCAAGCATCACATGATTAATCAGTCAGTTACTGATTGAGTTCAAGCTGAAGTGAGTTAAGCCTGTTTCACACATCTCTGAGTATTTACATTAATAATGCATGTAAATACATGTATATTTACATGCATGGCTTTTAGGTCTGACTCAGGAGAGACTAAATTCTGGTTTTTATTGTAGATTTGTTTTCATTTTGTCATAGTTGACCATTAAATTGCACTTAGGGATGCACTCGTTGTATTATAAATAAGTAAATAAACTCAAATTCTTAATATTAAAATGGTTACTGGAAGTGAACCAATTAAACACATTAGAAACGTATTAAAATAAACAAATATGTATGTTAATGTGTGTAATACATTTTTGGACATATATATCATGTACATGTATATTTATTCTAAAACCTGTCATAACATGATGATATTATAGAAGTAAATATAAATAAGAGACATGCATTTAAGAAAAGCATTACAAAAACATTGCTTTTTTGTGTATACGTTGTTTTAATAAAAGGTATAAAAATATAAAGTTATAAAATTGCATATAAAAATAAAATATATATTGTTGACATACATGGCTGCTGCATATAAAATCATCATATAGATATTATTAACATATGTACATTTTACTATGGGAATTTTACATATGTTTTTATATCTTCATCTACGCAGAGAATGTACATATGTGAAAATTACATAATTGCCTTTTAGGCAATATATATGGCAATATCACTCTTGATATAGAGCAATAAATGTCATATTAAATTTCTGTATGGAAATAACCAAATGACATGAGGCAGATCACATTTACATCCAAATGCTAGTTAATCTAAAAATCCAGATCACAAAGTGAAGCCATAAACGTTTATATGATTAAAAGATTGTATTTAGTGCATTTCAACATTTTCTGTTGCATTTATTTAATTTTCTATTCATGCATTTGGCAGATGCTTTCTCCAAAGTGACTTGCATTGCTGTTAGGGTTTGCATTGGATCAGTTCATGCATTTCCTGAGAATCGAATCACTGATAATAGATGTGTGAAACAGGCCTGAACTAGTTTAGTTAGCTGGTTAGTGAGTGCTGAACGTACAGGAGAGCAGCGGAAAGCCTCAGCGAAATCAAAGCGCTTCACTTCAGTCTAAACAAAAGCAGATCAACAGATCATGATGCTCATCAGGTTAGAGGGACAAACAAGCCAAGATATTAGAAAGCAAACTCAGCACAGAATGGTTACTAGGTTAGTGAAGTGATCATGAGAGCAGCATGTGGCAGTTAGTCACTTCAGGAAAGCATGAGTTATGACAGGAAATAAATCCATCCATATAAAACACAAGCAGAAGAACAGCAAGCTTTGGATGAAACCTCAACTCCATCAGATACAGAAAACTAGTCATTTAAAGCAGTCGAACCACAGTCACGCCACCGTTCAGAAGACATGCTAGCTACAGAAGCTTTACTTTATATAGTACTGCATAGGGCTGCACGATAAATCGAAATGGAATCGAGATCGCAATTCGACAGAAGCTGTGATTGTCATGCGTATCTTTCAGTGAAGCACGGTTCTGTGATCAGCAGTAAATCTCCATCCAAAGGCCAAAGAAACTCCAAATATGCCTCGCAGAAGAAACCCAGAAAATGGCTATCGCTGCAGCTGAATAAACAGAAGATTCAACTGCTTTCATTGATTCAACGTGACTAATAAACACACGACTACGCCAATATACGGTTTATCTGAGTTCTTATTATTATAATTTTCATTCAAATAAAGTATATTTATAATGCAATGCCTTTATCGCTGCTTAAATACTATGAAATATGTTTCATGCTTTATTCTTTGTAAGAAGCCACGTCATCTCACAGAAGGATTTATTTCAAACACTCGACTGACGTTATGAAGTGAGTTTGGAGTAAAAATATGTTATTAAATGTGGTATTTTCACGTGCTTTCAGATGGAGCAGCGTTTACTACACAGAGCCATAGTTCACTGAGAAGCTACGCAAACAGCTGTCATTATCGTGAACGATTTTTTCGATTTCATTATCGTCTGCGATTTTTTTGCGTAACTTGTCAGTGAGCTACGGCTCTGTGACGTAAATGCTGCTCCATCTGAAAGCACGTGATGATGATTTCCTGCTGATTACAGAACCAGCTTTTTTAACAAAATGCGCATGATAATCGCATTCGATTAGTCGTGCAGCCCTAGTACTGCATATTCAATTGGTGTAAATGAAAATGTTAAATTATTAAGAATATTTAGTTTTGTTCATCATATGTTCTACTTTTTGTAATCTGCTTTGATCTGCTATTTACTATTTTTCTTGTAACATTTCAGCCGGGCGTTCATCTAAACATTACCAACCATAACTACAAATATGCAAAATTATAAAATGGAACGTTCCCTTTATGTTTTCTTATGTTTGCATAACTGAGAATTTTTTTTTTTTATATTTGAAAACCTCAGAACATATTGTTGTTCGCTGGGTGTAGATTGAGTTACTATCACATCAGTATCATCTCAGCACTACCTGATTTTCTCAAACTCCACACGTCCTTTAGTTTTCTCTGCTCTACAGCAGCGACTCGTGTGAATGAGGAGATGGATTCATAAAGGCTGATCTGGAAGAATAGCGTTCAGCTTCCACAACAAACACACTCAGAAATATTCCTGGAATGGTTTGACGGCAGCTTTAGTGCGTGTGAACCAAGCGGACAGAGAATGTCACATTTTAGGGTTTCAGTGCAAACTTTGGTGGGAAAGTGAAGAATAAGCTGGAGAATAATGGAGATTTTTCTGAAAAGCCTCAACTTTCTCACACACACACTTTGTGACCCTTAAGACAAACTTTATGTTTGTTTATGTAAAGCTGGAAGTTTAAAGTAGTTTGAAAAGTTTGTAGTTTGAAGCTTTGAAGTCTCCCAGACAGACAGATCACTTTGGTTACTAAGGCGTTCTGTGTGACATCAAAGGCATTGCCAAACATTTGCTATTGTGTCCTTGTTTTTTGCTAAAGTGTTGTTTGCTGAGTGAGTTACAGTGTTCTAGGTAATTACTAGGGTGTTACTAGGTGGTTGTTAGGGTGTTCTGGTGAAATGAGAAGACCAGAGTTGCCAGGATGTTGCTAGGCAGTTGTTAAGGTGTTCTGTATGGTTACTAGGGTGTTCTGGGTGGTTAATAGGGTGTTACTAGGCAGTTGCTAGGGTGTTACTAGAGAGCTCTTAGGGTGTTTCTGGGGAAATAAGAAGACCAAAGTTGATAGGGTGTTGCTAGGCAGTTGTTAAGGTGTTCTAGGTGGTTGTTAGGGTATTCTGGGTAGGTACTAGGGTGTTACTAGGTGGTTGTTAGGGTGTTCTGGTGAAATGAGAAGACCAGAGTTGCCAGGATGTTGCTAGGCAGTTGTTAAGGTGTTCTGTATGGTTACTAGGGTGTTCTGGGTGGTTAATAGGGTGTTACTAGGCAGTTGCTAGGGTGTTACTAGAGAGCTCTTAGGGTGTTTCTGGGGAAATAAGAAGACCAAAGTTGATAGGGTGTTGCTAGGCAGTTGTTAAGGTGTTCTAGGTGGTTGTTAGGGTATTCTGGGTAGGTACTAGGGTGTTACTAGGTGGTTGTTAGGGTGTTCTGGTGAAATGAGAAGACCAGAGTTGCAAGGATGTTGCTAGGCAGTTGTTAAGGTGTTCTATATGGTTACTAAAGCGTTCTGGGTGGTTAATAGGGTGTTACTAGGCAGTTGCTAGGGAGTTGCTAGAGAGTTATTAGGGTGTTTCTGAGGAAATAAGAAGACCAAAGTTACTAGGGAGTTGCTAGGCAGTTGTTAAGGTGTTCTATATGGTTACTAGGGTGTTCTGTGTGGTTAATAGGGTGTTACTAGGCAGTTGCTATGGTGTTTCTGGGAAAATAAGAAGACCAAAGTTGCTAGGGTGTTGCTAGGTGGCTTTTAGGGTGTTACTAGACAGTTGTTAGGTTGTTCTGGGGAAATGAAAAGACTATTGTTGCTAGGGTGTTGCTAAGTGGTTGTTATGTTGTTCTGGGTGGTTACTACCGTGTTACTAGGTGGTTGTTAGGGTGTTCTGGTGAAATGAGAAGACCAGAGTTGCAAGGATGTTGCTAGGCAGTTGTTAAGGTGTTCTGTGTGGTTACTATGGTGTTCTGGGTGGTTAATAGGATGTTACTAGGCAGTTGCTAGGGAGTTACTAGAGAGTTCTTAGGGTGTTTCTGAGGAAATAAGAAGACCAAAGTTACTAGGGAGTTGCTAGGCAGTTGTTAAGGTGTTCAGACTGGCTACTAGGGTGTTCTGGGTGGTTAATAGGGTGTTACTAGGCAGTTGCTACGGTATTTCTGGGAAAATAAGAAGTCCAAAGTTGCTAGGGTGTTGCTAGGTGGCTGTTAGGGCGTTACTAGACAGTTGTTAGGTTGTTCTGGGGAAATGAAAAGACTATTGTTGCTAGGGTGTTGCTAAGTGGTTGTAATGTTGTTCTGGGTGGTTACTACCGTGTTACTAGGTGGTTGTAGGGTGTTCTAGGAAAATGGGAAGACCAGACTTGCTATAGTGTTGCTAAGTGGTTGTTAGGTGTTCTGAACAGTTACTAGGCAGTTGCAAGGGTGTTGTCAGGCAGTTGTTAGGGTGTTCTGGGTGGTTGCTAGGGTGTTACTAAGCGGTTGTTAGGGTGTTTTGGGAAATGAGATGACCAGAGCTGCTAGGGTGTTCTGTGTGGTTGCTAGTGTACTCTGGGTGGTTGCTAGGCAGATGCTAAGGTGTTCTGTATGGTTGCTAAGTAGTTGCTAGGGTACTCTGGGTCATTGCTAGGGTGTTCTGGGTGGTTGTATTACCTTGTTCTGATAGAAGCGGATGACAAGGATGATACAGACGAGCAGCAGAATGATTCCCAGAGCCCCGAGGACGAGCGGGAAATGAGAGACCAGAGTCACGATCAGCAGCAGCTTCTGAATCCTTGCGGCCGAAGCGTCGTCAATCACCACCGACTGCAAACACAGCAGAAAATCATCCAGCGGTTTTATAGGAGACGAAACCTTTGGTCACTAAATCATCCACTTCTGACTCTCACCTCATTCAGAAACAAAATGGGGAAGATGGTGCCGTTGAGATTCCTGGTCAAACTGAGGAAACAAAGGACAAAAAGACAAAGACCTTCAGCTAGAAAACTATAAAAACACACTCTCACGGCTGTTTATCAGAATGGCCCGATTAAATATATCAGACAGGAAAGCATCACTCACAGAAAGCCGGTCACTCTCTCGAGATGAATGTTGATCTGGGCTCGTTTCATGGCACGAACAGGCACTCCCAAAGTCTGAGGAGAAACCAGAAGATCTGAGCCAGACCGCAGCAATCAAACCAATTATATCACAAAAACACTTCAGACAGGAAAAATACATTAGAGAACGAGACACTGATCATGAAAATCAACACTTCAAAGCATCTTATCACAACACAGCAGATCTTACAGGGTTCAGATCCAGAAAAGTCTGGTGAAGCTTGTGCACCGGAGAAATGCCATCGATGGCTTTGGCGTACTTCTCAGCACCCAGATGAAAGTGAGGGAACGACACGACGACAGGAGCACCTGAGACGACAATTACACCACAAAATCACTGCATTTCTGATGCTTTTATCCAAAGAGACTTGCATTGCAATCAAGGCATTCCTTTGATCAGCCCATGGATTCCCAAACTCAATTTTTTTTAAATGAAAACCATTTTATACTGCATAAGGAAAATTAAATGTTTTTGTAGTACCATTACGATTTTTTCCACTGTGAGATTATTTTCATGACATTCAATTTTCAGTACAGTACTGTACATCACAGTAAAAACATTATTATTATCATCATCATAAATAAGTAATAATTAATGTATAATGTATAAATTAATAATTCAATAAAAATATATATTTTATATATTGTATGTATACATATACAGTACATCCAGTGTTTACATATTGTAACTAATGTTCATGAACATGTGCTGTTCCTATTAAATGAACAAAAAGATCAAAGATCAAACATTTTAACATGAGTGGATATGTTCAGAATAACATACTACATGCACTATTTCTGCAGTGCGCGATATGAGTAATCACCTAGATGACCTTCTGCATGACCTCCTCAAAATGCAAAATACACTTTTCATTGGCAGGATGATAACCGACTCACTCAGTGAATAAAACAAAGCAATGAGTGAAACATTCAGCATCATACAGCACATAGGCTACTGTTTCAGACTCTTCTTTCATTCACAAGTCAGTGCCCTCGTCAGATAAAGGGATGTCCTCTAAACTCAGAGAACATCAGTCATTACGAATGTTTTGTCGTCTAACAGCAGAAATGTCATCTCCTCCTCGCTTTGTCTTAACAATGCCTTCTCTCATACGAGCCCCCTGAGAGTCGTAGAGCTTCATCCTGTCGTGACGTTAAAGAGGAACATCGTCTCATGAGAAGATCAAGGGAACTCTGACCTGGAGCATGAAAACAATCAGGAGTGACCGCAAGTAACCCAGATGATTTACCACCTCTGTTCTCAACACATGTAGGGGAAATTAGACTCCTGCATTACTGGGACAGAGGCGAGAGTGTGTGTGTGTGTGTGTGTGTGAGAGAGTGAGAGTGAGAGTGAGAGTGAGAGTGTGTGTGTGTGTGTGTGTGTGTGTGTGTGCGTGTGTGTGAGAGTGTGTGTGTGGGTGTGTGTGCGTTAGAGAGTGTGTGTGTGTGTGTGTGTGTGTGTGTGTGCGTGTGCGTGAGAGTGTGTGTGTGCGTGTGTGTGCGTTAGTGAGTGTGTGTGTGTGTGTGTGTGAGTGTGTGTGTGTGTGTGTGTGTGTGTGAGAGAGTGAGTGTGAGAGTGAGAGTGAG